ATTCTACGAAACATCTCAGTCATCGAATGAATGATAATTATACAGTTTGTAAAACATCGTAGTTAATTTGCAATAAATTGACAGATTTCTCATGCCACAAATGAATTGTAGATTTCTACCAGTAGCTTGGAACCAGAGATCCAAAAGCTGACGAATGAGACAACATTAATATATAACAAAGGTCTCTAGGCTTGATGACAGGACCAGTCACCGTAACAGTTTCTCGGATATTCCTAACTTCTGCAATTTGATATCAACTTCGTAGTACGTGTAATATGAATATTTTAATGTATATTGGAATAAAAAGTATATGTTTAATTGGATGAAATATATTTGTATTATATATATTTTTATATGTTATGTAAACGTGTTTTGACGCAATTATTACAGATTTATTTATTAAATGTGCATATGGTATGTACATATTGTTTTTGTAGTTGTTGTTTTTGTAAGCAGGTTATACAATTGCTAAATTCTTTTTTCAACACAAGAAATTACACTTTTATATACAATAAAACTACAATAAAACTTGGTCTCGAGATACATGTATTCCTTGAGAGCCAGGGCTCAGTTTTACTAAAGAACTTAGGACTAAGACCAAAATATAATTTTGCGAATAATTTTTTTCTCTATAATAATTGAAAATCAGAGTAAAATTTTTTCAAATAATTTTGAAATATATATTTGCAACAGACATATTAATTTTGCAAGACTTTACAATCAAATTAAGTTTTTGTCTTAGTCTTAACTTCCTCTGTAAAACGAGTCCCGCTACCTGATGAGCGATGTTCTTTATGAAAAATACTTCTGTTTACAATCACCATACACTGTTTCTTCTATTCAAGAATATATGTGACAGCATACTAACTATTAAACTGTGAGTATAAAATTGATGCCCAAAGCACAAAGAGAAATCTGTCTTTAAAAATGTACAATTAATTCTCAAAAATTGATATTGCGAAATAATTTCCACTATTGTTACCAAACTGTGTATATGGTAGGCGGGGAATTATAATTTTATTTCATAGTATATGGTAGAATTCTTTAGAACTGTCTTCTTAGCAGTTTATTTTAATGCAAAACATGTTATACATGTCTAAAGGATGCAATTTAAATGAACTTGTCAATATTAGTATTTCGACAGGGAAAAATAGCAAGTATTCAAGTGTATTTTCGATCTTGACAAAAATTATGCTGGTGTTGTAACTTGTAAAATTTAAAAACTTCAGATCTTGGGGGGGGGGGGGGTTAATGAATTAAAATGCAGTATGGTTAACCTAGTAGTCATTTATGGAAGTAAAGCAATGTGAGCATAAGGACAGTATCCTTTATTGAAAAAAAAAACTTAGACATGAGTAGATTAAAAACAGGTTTCATGCTATTCGTCCACCCTTTATTTTAAAGGGTGTTCGAGTGGATATTGGTGATGTTTAGATAATGAATATTAATGAATTCTTTGATTTCTGATATGTTCGTGTTTATTAGTGAGAACTTTCTTGTGAACTTAATTTGTAAACGAAACTCAACCTTTACCTTATATTTTACTTGTATCACATCAAAATAACCAAAATTGCAGACCAACTCACTTTCATAGTTTTCTGTAGAGTATTATTTCAAGTTTGGTGTTAAACTATTTCTGGGGTTATGTGAGGAAACAGCTTCCCTACAAAAAGATCAATGCTTTTTTTTCTAAGGGCAATTTGTCAAGTAACTAGTCATGACACTTACAATTGTTGTATGACAGAGCTACAATCACTAGTACTAGCGAAGTGTATCTATATTTTCAATTAAAAACGTAAAGATATTTAAAAAGGGGGCTTGTCATTAGAATAAAAAATACTCTTTTGTAGGGACACGTAAAAGATCGTTTACTTAAGGTTTGAAGACAGATGAAAACCCGAGAAATCAGCCCTTATCGGAGAGGATCGGGTACTGGTAGAGATAAGAAACACACCAGTCAAGTCACGTAAAAAAAAAAAAACTACAGGGTTTGCCACCAATTTCATTTAAAACATTTTCATTGAATACCTCTCTTGTGTGATTGAATTTCAATTTAGAATAATCAACACTGAATTATTTGCAGAGTTAAAAGATTCACGCAAGATTCGTTGAAATATTGAAATGTTAATTTGGCAATTAAAATAATTTTGTCCGTTAACGTGCCAGAATATCACACACGATGCGCCAAACCAACGAATTATCTTAAAAACATATTTTGAAAAATCTTCTATTATCAAATCATTTTCTTGTGAAATAATATGTACTAAATGCTTTGAGTTATAGGTTTGCTGTGAAAAACCAACGCATTATTTCAAAATCATTTCTTTCTGAAATCTACAATTATAAAATCATTTTCTTTTGAAATAATATTACAGATACCAAATGCTTTAAGTTATAGATTCGCATACACACACACACACACACATACAAACCAAAAAAAAAACAACAACAAACAAACAAAAACCAAAAAAAAAACAAAAAAAAAAAAACGAATACTGCTTTAAGGTTAAAGGATACGTTCCTCAAAAATGTATGATTTTTCCCAAGAATTGATGCTTGAAGTATTCCTACTTAAACAAGTTTCCTAAAAAAAAAAAAATTAAGGTACGTTACCAGGTATTTGTGCACGATACCAGAGGATGGTGTTTCCCATGTATTCCTCTTGGAAATCACTTGGATTGCTTATTTGACAGTTTTTGATATATCTATTTTTTCCGTTTTAGTTTATTGGCAACACCATCATACATTGGAATATAGTCATGAATACAACAACAACAACAAAATAAACAACATACATAAAACTCCCAGTGAGCATATTATGTTGGAGTTTTTCTTTTCTAATATCAAAGCATGCACTTTTTCAGAAAGTTACGTACCTTTTTAGCAATTTTTAGAACATTTTGGAAATAGCTTAGAAATCACAAGACAATAATGATTAGAAATATTTTTGTTATAGATTTTTTACAAAGAGATATAAAAACAGATAATCGAGGAACGTGTCGTTATACCTTAAAAAGATCAGTTGTTATTTTTTGAACATTAATATGATTTCATATTCATAGGGAAAAGTGCCACATATGATCTTTGTGTACCATACGACTCTCACATGACTTCATGTGAGATTCATACGTATAAACATGTATATATTCTCAAATGAGAATCATAAAAGAATGCCTGAGAACATCCAGTCAAGAAGAAAATATTAGCAATGCATTTTCTGCTCTATCGCATTCCAAAAGTTAATACATATCATGTTATGTATATTAAATTTGATTAAAGTCAAAACTTGCAATAAAACAAACCATTAAATAATATGTTAATATAGTTTTTTGACCACTTCACTGCAATGAGTTTCATCTTTACCTGTGAGATATGGTATTGACAGTGTTTTCTTAGATTTCCTTATATTAGATACGATTTATATGGTTTACATCAAGTTCATTATCATATATTTTCTATTCCTCTTCATATGCAATAACAAAGTACATGTATTGTGGCGTATAGTACAAGGTGACAATCAAAGATATAAAAAAGCACTTTATTTGAAAAAGACAACAAAATTAAATTTTACGTCATTTTTACTTCTTACATTAAGTGTTTTTCCCCATAAGATTTAAGTGACAATCCTGGTAATTTTACGCATTCAACAGATAATCCCTCTTTTTCGATCCTCTCAAAAGATAGGCTGAAGAGTTTGTCTTGCACTGGAAAAAGGGTCAGCGGCTCCACATGTTTAGTGATTAATTAATAAATAAAATGGCAAAACTTGATCTTCACATGATATTTTTTTTCTTCATCAATAGAATTACGGCTGCAATTAGCTTGTACTTTGTTCATGCCTTGCTTGGTAATAACTATCTCTTGATACAGTACACATCACATTCTAGCAATAAAGAGATATGGCTAATTTGAATTTTCTTTATATGTGTTTCCCAGTTGTTTTATTATTAGATAATGGTTTCCATACCTACAACCCGTAAGAGGATGGTCAGTGATCAAAGATGTCCTGTGTATGATGTCCAGAAATCAGTCGAGTCTGCTGGACAGGGGGGCGTTCCCAATAACCGTTTGGGAATTAACGATAAAAGTCACGGTATTCTAGAACACAATGCCTCCATCAATATAGCTCAGCAGTGTTTACGTTAACTTTCATTTTACAATTTACTGAATTGCAGTGGTTTTATCCAAATGTTATGTTCATTTTTTTAAATGTTAAACATTTGAAAAAAAAATCCTCTTAAAAATACAGTTTTGCATGATTACAAAGTAAAAAGAAAACTGTGTTACCTCTTAGTGCCTCTAGGAGTTCAGTAACATTGCTCTCAAAATAAAATTATAATTTCAGTTTAATTAGAATGTTGTTTTCTTTTCTCTGTGTTTATTCTTTGATAGAGGGACCGAGTATCCTGTCAATTTACATTTTAATTCAAAGGGTAATTCCCTTAAACAAATCTCCATATCGCTCCGCACAAAAACACGTGAGTTACTGCTGGCTAATCCTTTCAGTCGGATTTGCCATTAAATATGATTTTCATTGAGCAGAATGAAATATTGTGAGAAATATTGATGTTTTTATTTTTGATCGAGAGTTTAATGTGATTTGGTGACCCGCCATCTGACGGCAGGTAGCGCAGTGACCCGGATAGACACGTAAGTGATAAATCCTCCAATCACTGTCCACAATTTAACGACCCATTGAATGCCTTTTGAAAAAGCAGAAAAAGCAAGATGACGGAATTACACCCCTTGTCACCTTTAAATGGTTTCCAAAAGGCGAAAATTGCAAATGCACCGAAAGCTCAGTGGTTTACTATTATTTACCATACTCTTGAAACAATTAATTTTAGTTTAGTTCGACTCCATAAATTTGAAGTGAAACTTCGTAATAATGATTTGTCGATAGCTTTCTTTTATTGTAGCAATGACAACAATATTCTGAAGGAAAAGTTATCGAAGAACAATACAGGAAATTTACATATTTTGAAATTTTAAAATTGCAAATGTTGCCAATATCTAAACAGACTTCAAATGGATTTTCAATTGATTCAATTATCAATACAAATAAAAGTGATTCCTTGAGGGGAAACTCAACCGAATCTCGGAATGAAGCCGAATATCTACGACCGAGTTCGGGATCTCGGAGCGAACTTTTCGCCATTAATGGCAGAATTCCACCTTTACATCCAGCTGTTCCTCTCCATATCCGAAATTTATTATTAGCAGGAGACACTGTGGGGACCCTTCACCCGGAATTATTACACTTTGGCCAATCTCCTTGGCCACTACCCAGTTCCACGCTGTCTTCAATATCCACCCTGTCCCGCAATTTACCACAACATGGCGGACCTCATATGAATTCCAGTTTTCCAGGACTCTGGACCCCGATATCAGACCAAATGACCTTAATGAACCCTTGGCTAGCAAACAGAGGCGCACAATCGAATGTCCTTGGATTTCCTTTTGGTAAGATTTCATTTTTTGTAGTGTTCTTTTAGCACAAAGATAATCTTTTATGTCAATGTTTTGAAAAGGAAATAATAATATATTTACATCTCATATTGGTTCATTTATATCAGAGTTGTAATTTGGAAATTTGATAAAGAATGAAAATAAATATTTTTCTTTTCTATGCAATTAAATATAATGAATTTGTATTCTGCAATTAAGGGAAGATGATATTTACAGACTTAAAATTAATAACAATTTGAATTTTTTTTTTTAAAGAAAAAGAATTATTTTACATATGAATAAACTGTAGAACGTCTGAAAAATACGCCATGTGTAAAAATTATATTACAAATGAAAACTATACTTTTTTCCTTTATTGTAAAAATGAGCGTAGTCAAAATGAAAAAAAGAAAGAATTTTTTTAACACCAGAAAAGCTTTTGTATTCTCATCTCACACTATGTATAAATGTCTTATAATTTGCTGTAAAAGAAAATAATTTTTTTTTCTGATTCACCAAGAAAAACGTAAATTATTTGCGTCTGCAAAGGTCTTCACTGTTTATTTGCAGTGGCAACCAACTGTAGTGTTAGCATACATTTTGTCCAACAAAAACACAGAGTTTACACCAGGTTTGGCGGAAATGAAATATAAAATACAAATATTTTGTTTTGCCAGACTTCAATTCTAGATGTCAAGAATTTGAAGTTCATTAGCTTGTGTGTCCAGAATATTTACTGAAGTATTTTCCCAACCTCGAAAAAATCTCTGCACAAATATTTACACCTTCTGTGATTCTATTTTCATATATCATGTTAATCCTTTGTGGCGTTTTTTTCGTTTTATTAGTGTTTTATTTAAAGATTTGTAATTATCATTCTTTTGCAAAAATCTTAGAGAGAGAGATTCCAATATTAAGGGAAAAGTTAAACATTTTGGACGTAAATAATTTTGTGGAAGATATATAAATGTACTGTTTGTTATAGAACTTTCATAGCATATATCTGGCTTAGTTCCCGTCAATGGCTGCGTGATCAAAGTCGTAATATTTGCTTGAACATTTGTCTGTTTTGTTGTTTCTGGAATCTCAAAACTCCATTGTTTTCAAGACGCATTTATGCAATGCAAATGAGGCCTATTATTTTGATATTCTACTTGTTTATGATCATTGCTTTTGTCTTTTAAAAATGATGATATACAAGCGGCTATTTCTGTTGAAGTATTTTATAAGGACAGACAGAATATTCCCTGTGTCTTGACAGTAAATTAATGGGGGAGCCATTTAAGTTGAACTCGATACCCAAACACTCTCTTAAGTGAAATTTTATAGGACTGATCTGGAGAGTTAACATGACTGTAGACAATGCGAGGTGGTATTTACTAAAACAATTAGATTGAAAATGATGTGCTAAACCGGCTAATGTATTTCAAACTTTTGAAAATGTATTTATTTTCTTCGTCTCTTCGTGTGTGGCTGTCGTCGATCTGAAATATTACCAGCATTATCTGTCCATTGTCTCTGTAGAAAACTTATATTGGCACCACTTAGGGCCAAACGTTGATAGAATCTTGGTAGAATGGCACCAGAGAAAGACTCCCAGAACAAAAAGCCTCACACCGTCCGAGACAAAATGACCAGCATGTAGATCATCTAATTGTGGGTGGCTTTTACTGATTTTTCCCTTTCCTCTATGAAATATAATCAAAGACGGCAATTTCTGTAATTCCTGTCTATGTTTGGAATTATATTTACAATGGTAAGCGCCTGACCGATTCGTATCGATATTCATGCATTTTTCACTGTTGGGGACATGAATTGTGAACGTTTGGATGGTAACCCCTCATGTAATACATTGTATGGTTCTAATTATCTAGATATTTCGTAAATATCTACTTTTTACATTTTAAATGAAAACTTCAAAGTGATCTTTTAGTTGCTCAAATTGAAGTTTACTTAATGAACTCACTAATTTTATATAATTTGCTTTAATTATACTTTAAAACGGCTAGACTTCTTTACAATAACATCACTAAAACCAAGAAAAGAATTGTTGAAAATATATTTTTTATGAACACAGATTTTCTGAAATAGCAGAATATAAAGAACAAATTGTTGAATTAACTTAGTGAGCATTCTTACAAAACCTTCAATCTCATTTCATTGTTAAATATATCAATCTCTATAGCATGCTTGAGAGGGAAAAAAAACAAGCTGAAATTTTTTTCTGAATTCCTAAGCATTCTTAAATTAATAAATACTTTGGTCAAAATAACGTATGCCATGTAATCATGATAATTTGAAAAAGAATCCATTTGTGATATGTCGTTAATTGAATAATATCATGTCAGTTGACCGATTCGGTAACACATATATATGCTGCTCTAGGGTTCTTACAAGGAATATTATATTGTGTCCTAACAATTATCAAAAATACTTTGTGGTGGTAACATGGTTTAAATTTTGTGTTTACCTCTAATTAGTAAATTCAAAATTAACAAAATGACATTAATACATGAACATTGATATTAATTATATTGTATACCTATACATAATTGTCTTTTTGATAATGATCTCTATAGATGCAATATAATTTCAAGCCCTTTGTGCTCTTGTGGTAAGATATAAGATACTTTTCATTATTTTTATTTTTCCAAACTATTGTGAAGCCAGAAAAGATCTGAAATGTATTTACGATTTGTTAAAATTCATATTTTAGATACACATGTTTTATTGAGGATGATTCATTTAGTGCTACAGAGAATGAACGGCTTTTCTATTATTCAAAATTTTATCAAACATTCTGGTAAATTTATATTTATGGTTAATTTTAATATACATGTATAAAATGCATCGATCTGTATAACATTAGTTTATTTCATATATGTAATTAGCTGTGACTTTAGTAATTTAGACTTGTCAAATAATTGTAGGGAGAGGGCGGTATATGTTTTAAGAACTTGTGCCTAATCCCTTTGTATTTACAATTACTATAAAATATGTTCATACTGTAATTGAAAAGTAGAAATATGTTTGATTGAAGGCAATGATTTGAACATATTTTATTGTTTATTTTTTTTTTATTAATTGGGATTGAGCAAACGTTCTAAAACTTGATACGCCCTTTCCCTACGTTAAATGTGGCAAACATTTTTACACATATGAGTCTCAGTTCGAAAACTATACAAATGAGCACAATAATCAGTGAATCAATTATTTCTGTGAGCTATAAACGTTTTATATTACACATCAATTAAATAACAATCATTTAATATTAATACTACATCAATGAAATCGACGTGACTTTTAAATAAATATTTTACAATTGAAAAAAAAGGTATTCAATCTCAACAGCAGTTAACGATTCGTCTCCCCAGAGTAAAGTGTGAGTATCGAAAATATATAATTTCTCAATTGGCAGAAATTTGTCGAATATTTTTTACTTATGCTTTTTGTATATATATATATATATATGTTTATTTTTTTGTAAGAAAAGAAATAATGATGAGTATCTTAATTCCACTCTTCGGCAAGAGCACAGGGGACTCAAAATAATATTATATTAAAGACAATCGTGGTATCTTTTTTGTAGATTTAGAATTACTGGGTGGAGGTAAATGCAAAATTTAATATCATGTTGTAAATTTGGCATTTACCTCCACCAATTAAATTCAAAATTTATAACAGTATAGTAGGTAAAAAAGGAAAAGAAGAAGAAATTTAAATTTCTCTTGTTAAAAATCATAGGATAAATATCATTTTGCATGCTGGATGGTAAAATATGAGTTGATTGAAATAAACGGAATGATATTGTATTGAATCATACATTTATAATCTGTTTTTCCTTCACAGACAAAATGTTTGCATTACGTAAAATAGTTGTATATTAGATTTCTATGTTCTGTGAAGTAGCCGAGACCGTTCTTCGTCCTTCAACAAATACATTGTTGAAATTAAGAATTACCAAGCCTAAAATTAAGTTACTCTAACCCTGAAGACATTTTTTCTCTCTTTTTTAAAAAATAACTTTATTATTTATTTATTTATTCAATGAAAACTTGTCATATTAAATGATTAAAGGTAGTTCTGTTGGAATAAAGGGAATGCAGTAAAACAAAATCATCTGATTCTTAATGAAGAACATTTCTTAATGTCTAAATATTAAAAACAAAAATAATTCATTATTATATCCTTCGTTCATCTTTATCAGAATTCTTCATCTTCCGTCCATGTATGGCACCGTGCCTCAAGAGCCATTACGAGGTCTTATCAAACATTAAAATAATAGTTATAGTGTCCTATCATGTAAACATCGTATCAATTACCCTTGTTGTCAATTAACACAGGGTAATTAACATAAAAACAAGTTAAGCTCTGTCTCATGTTAACCGTTTGGATGTGCAAGGGCGACGGTATGCTGCGATTTACAGAGATAATACAATCACACAGATTCGTCATTTTCAAGAAACCAAATACATGTAATAGATGTTAGGATTACTGTCAATATTGTAATTTGTTTAACTATTGTGCATAATTTATTTTTAATGCTAACATTTTAGAGTTGTCATTTTTTTTAAATGCTGATACATGTGTAAGATAATATTGAATGTTGTAGATGAAATAGATTTATTATGCAGTTAGGGGGAGGGGGAGGAACTTTATTGCTTGCTAATTTTTTTTTAGGATTAAGTATAAATTAGATTTTTATCATTATTATTATTTTTTACCAATGAACATTTGAACGATAAAAAGAGTACATTTTGAACTTTTAAAACATAATTTCAGTTTGGAGTATCATCGAAATAAAATTCATTTTCAAATAAAAATGTCAAAAAATTGCATACTTAAAAAAATCTTGATATGCTGAGGCATTGAAAGACGAGAGAAGTTTAAAAAAAAAAAAAGGACTGGTCAATTAACTAGTGAAACAAAATTCTACAACACTTGATTTGCCTTGCCAAAGTACATTTTAAAAATATATTTAATGCATCTGAATAAAAATATTTTGATTGTTTTGC